AAGGGAAATACAGAATCCATAAAGACATATGATATAGCCTAGAGAGTGGACACAAAAGAATGAAGTGATGAAACAGTCTATGAATTACCTTTTCAGATTACCTGAGAATAAAGAGATGAACATATAACCAGCAGATAACCAATTAATAGTTTTATGAACAGGTAAGTACAGTTTATAAGCTTGTTTCTCACACTGTCTCTTCAACATACTTTCTGTACAGCTGCATTAAACTGAGATTCCAGTTGCTAAAACCATATAGGTGTCAAATTCTTCCTTCACCAGCAACCTGTGCTGCAGCCTCAGATTCCTGTAGCTACTCAGTTAAGACTATATGTGTGTACACACAAACACACAGACTTTGATGCTATTGAGATCTAATAGTCTATGTAATCTCAGTGTGTTTACATTTCTGTCTCACAAAACTACTTCTAGGGGATTCTTTTTTCCCATCAGTTACATCTGGCTCCCACTTTGCATTTTGCATGGTCTCTCTCCTTTTTCTGTTCTTTTATACACAAGCCAGTACTGCTTATCTGTAGAAAACCAGGCTACAGTGAGCCACATTAAGATCTAAGTTTTATAACGCAACTCATAAACCTTTGCTGTTGTTGACAAAAATTAGAGCATGGATTTTAATGCAAAAGCATATGCTTCCTGGACACCATTTTGAATGGGAAGTGTTAAAAAAAAAGACACTGAGATATGAAAACTGAGTGATCTGGAATTCATACACCTGTTTTACAATATAAAGTGTGGAGAAAAAATAAAAACAAGATTGCAGATGAATTTTCACATTTAAAAAACTCACTTAGAATATCCCTAACAGCAGTGGAAGCATGTTCATTATGATTACAGATATAACAAAGTTTTTAAATACAGAAAAGGTTGAAATAAAATCTTAGAGTAGATATGAATATTGCATCCTACAAGTCAGGGTCTCTAATGACATTGTAACGTGAAATGGCAAGTTGCAGATTTCTGTAACTTACTTTATGAAGAGATGAAAACCAAGAAAAAGGGATATAATATGCACACAGGAAGATTTAATTTGGCTCAGAACTTCCATGTGTCATTTACTTTTAAATCAATCACTTTATGTTTCTTTTAAATCAGTCCAAGCTCACATCCTATTATGTTTTTGATAAAGGACAGGCAGCAAGATATTTATACCATAGATGGCTTTTCTCTGTTAAAAAGCCACCCTAAAATTTTTGAACGGGCATTCAAATATCTCCGAGTTTTAAATTTCAAAATACTCTTGTCTAGTATCAATCATTTCTGTCATTTCATAACATCATGCCATAGCTCAAAATGCTGAAATTACTTTCTTCTTCAAAGCCACTGCCACGTGAGACTTCCTAGTATCAATCAGTTCATTATTCTGCCTGCTTTTACTTCTTTATTCTTACACAATTCCCATTTCTTGCTACTTAACATTAGCTTTTTTTAGACTATGCCCCAAAGGAATCTTCCATGTCACAGACAAAGGAAGGGTCACCACTGTCTATCCAGAAAACAATTTTCTATTGCCATCATAAAGATGTTATAATGATGAGTCTCTAATAGAAGAGCAGCTACATTACCTTCTCACAATCACTCCTGTTTTTTCTGGAAAACTTGAGGTTCTAAATAGATATTTTTGAAAGCAACTAGGAAATTAATCACTGGTAAGTCCTTTAGGGGAAGTGGCATAAACCCTCTGCAAACAGTCTGGAATGCAGGGTCAGCCGTATATTCCTGTGGATTATGTCATCTTTGTCACAGAGAACATTACCTTTCCCTTGACTGCAAGCCTTTTTGAACAGATCCCTAACATTTCTTCCCCTTGTGGCACTTCCAGCCAGAGGAAAAAAAAAGAGGATTTCTTTTTCCTCAGGGCCACAAGTATTCACATACAATTCATCTGAGGTTATCTTTGCTGTAGGTAGGTGTCTGGTAGCAACTGTCTTTTTCCTGATTGTTAAAGAAACAGTGAGATATTAATATTAATATTCATACTCAAGTCTAATCACAATTACAACAAAGTTATTGACATCTGAAAAGCTTTGCTCTACAAAATTGGCTTGAACATTCAACGGAACACCCATTGAATAGATAAAGTAAATTATTTTACTTCCTAGGTTTCACCCACAGGATGAAAAGTGCTGATGAAAACTGAGAAGAAAATATACCTGCAGAGTTTGATCTCTAGAGAAGCTCCACATGATTTTCCCTCAGAAGTGCTGCAGATTAAGAAAAAAGTGATAGAGCTAAGGGCTAAGTTTGGAAGTACACAGCAGGGAAGTCCTCCTTGTACATGTTGATGATCTCACTCTTGAAATAGGAGATGGAAATCAATGTAATCATCTTTCTTTTTGCCCAATCAACTACCATCTTGCCGAGTTGCCTTGACAGAATAGCTCAACTTTTAATAATAATTTAGGGGAGAAAAGCTAAAAGCTCCTCTCCTGCTGAGAAATATAGCATATGTAGATTCTCACAAGAATACTCTTTTTTTTCTCCCAGAATACTCTTCTAAATTCTGTACACGATTTTCACACACATTCCTCTCTCTTTGAGAGTTCAGTTATATGACAGGAATCAGACTGAAGATGGTCCCTTCCTTCCCCTTCCTCTGCCACAGGTAATTTCCAGCTACTGTTTCTGTTCAGCTCTTTGTGTACCCATGCTCCAGCAGTTCACAGGCTATATGAAAAACTGCTTACTGAAAAATAAATAAATTATTTTTTAATTATTATTTTTAATTTCAAGTAGGGCATCATAGAGCTACTGCATACTGTAGCCAAACAGTTGAAATAACACAAATGGGGGGAAAAGTAGCTCCTCAATCAGTTCTGCCACTGGAGAGACAAGTTATCATACAGCACCATAGTTTGTAGGTTTGTGAGGAGGACTTCCATCTTCATTGTAAATTTGAGACTGCAAGCTCATTCCTGCTCTCAGGTAAGTTTGGACAAACTCCAAAGTAAAAGAGCAGAAATGGAGATTTTGGACAAGAGTTTGCTATATTTGAGTGCCTAATGTTAATCCCCTATATTGGTAATTAGGTTTGAGAACGGAAGTAAAACTCAGAAGTGCTTAGCTAGTTCAGATTCAGTTTCAGTGGGATATACTGTCCACAAGCATATCTGAAACAAGGTCTATTTCTATTCAAAAGTTTAGATACAGCTTTAAGCACACTTGAGTCCTTAAAACTTCAGGTACCTACATTTTATATTTCATCATTGTTTTATTTATCATTCTGCCCTTACAGATTATACGCAGTTTTTTTCAGCTGTAACCAAGAAATACCTCTATGCCATACATTCATTAACTATCCTAATAAGACCATCTACTATCAAAGAGATACAGTATGCATTTTTTAAATTGGTATCGTGGTGCATCTTTCTGTCGTGGTGCCTTAAGATATCCTGAACTCAAAGTTAAGGGATAAGTAAACTAGTTGTGATTTGACTGTGCCATAATAATCTTCCAAGAACCACCGGTTCCTTCTATGATTTTTATTTCCTTCTTCCTCCCTGAAGCAGTTCCGATCAAATGCTTTCTTAATTATTATTCCACATACACTTCCAGTACCCCAAAATGATACTTACAAGCTAATTCAGAGGGGCAAAGAGTGAAAAGACTTTGAAAAGTAAGCATCCTCACCATTGTCCCCACTACTTTTGAATAGAGTACCCATTCCTAGAGTATACATGAATGCAAGCCAGAGGACCATAAGCAGAATAGATTTTCCGATAAATCACTCCCAGGACAAGTCATTTGGGTATGCAGTCAGGGAAGGGCAAGATAATCAGTTATTTATTAGTTCAAGAATGGAGCAGGTACTCCCATTGCTTGACATTCAGTGCTTCACATGAAATATGACCAATACATTTCACACTCTTTGAGTAACTGGCCAAGTTGTTTCCAGCACATAATTTGTTCTGTCTTTACTTGCCAGTTTTCCCATTGTCAGGGGGCATAGGAGTCTCTGACCACCCAGTATTTGACATGCTGCAATAATTTACATTCTCCCATATACATAGGCAAAACCAAATAATCGGGATGAATGACTACCTTTCAAATTCAGCAGCTTTTGTTCCAAAAATACAAAACATACATGCAGTGCATTGATTAGATTCCTATATGACCATTGTACACAGCAGCCTTTGAATATCATTGTGAAAAAGAGAAAGTCATTGCTTTGAAGAGGTTAGTATAAGAGCTTTAAGTAAATTAAGATATTATCAGGTCCTCCATTTCCAAGTTGTATTAAGAAAAAATTCAGCCTAGTTTACAAAGAGGAATATTGTGCTGAATTCAAACCTGAAGTTGCACAAGCAGCCACAGCAACCCATACCTCCATAGCTACCGGCTACGCTTTTTAAATCTGAATGTGTTTCTGCAGAACTGAGGAATGTCCTGGAGTTAGACGACCACAACAACTGACCAACTGTTATGTTTTGCCAGGTTCACTATTGTCACACTATCAGACAGACTCTTTCAGTTTCTCCTGCCTTTACACATGCAGTACAGCTATGTATAACTTCTTCAAAATTATACTTTAAGGCTAAAGATTGTTGATAACTCAGTGAAAGAAAAGTAACCACTGAAGAGATGATGAATTTCAAATAAATATACTGATAGTACGCAATGACTCTCATTAACTCCACATTATGAAGCTCTGTATATTCGATTGACTCTTGAATCATTAATTCAAGAATTTTCTTGACAATAGCTTTGCTTCATACTTATTTTTTTCCGAAGATGGCTATTTTACCATTCAAGACCTACCAGCATTTTGTGGTAGACAACACAGAGCATAATATTGCTTGTAGGTTTGTTCTTCTCTTGAAGAGGCACAAAAGTCATCTGAAAAACAGAGCTATAGCTGAAAACAGAACTAAATCAGCAATCAAAACAACTTATCCCAGTGGTATTTATTGTCTTTTTCAAAAGCTAGTATTGATGCCAAAACCAGCAGTCCAGATAAAAATCTTTGTTAGCAAGTCACTTACCATATTTATTGATGATACAGGACCAATGCTGTTGACATAAATGTCAACATCAATAACTGTTGGTTTTACTGTGGAGAAGAAAAAAAAAAATAATATTATTTTGCAGAAAACATAAGTAATCATTTTAAATATTTTCTTTCCCAATAACTGTAAGGTCTACTCTTCAGGTAGAACTACTGAGAAATATGGATTATGTATTTTTCAGGAAGACAAGGTTCTTTTCCTCCTACCCAACAAAAATTGCCATAAATTACAGCCTGTACCACTTCATCATCATGTTCCCCATTTATCTCAGCAGCAATTTGTTAAAGAAACTTTCAGTGCTAAGCATAGTAGCTCAAACTCAAAACCCCAGATGACTGACATGAAACTAGAAATAATGCAGCATATCACTTTTTCCCATTGCCTCAACATGCAGGTCCTTTAGCATGTTTGTTCCACACCAAAAAATCTTTCCAGATTTTCTCATCTCATCAGCCCTGAAATCATCCTAACTTAGAGTAAAATCACTATGAAATCCATTTAGCTAAACCTAAGCAACTCTTCTTTCAATTTAGACTCATTCCCTTCGTCCCACATTGCCTTTGAATTCATTCATCCAAAGGTTTTTGATTTGGTTTAGTCAATGCAGGTTTCTCATAAGGTCTTCCAGGTTTTCAGACTTCCAGGATTTAACAGGCCAGGATAAGCTCTGTACTCCTTTCCTTAGCTGAGGCCACTAGGACTTATCTTCCTTTTAGCATCTTTGATGTCAATGTACCTGCTGAACATTATTCAGAAAGCTCTTACTGGTGACATAGCCTAACTCTAAAATAATGCCACTCTTACACTGAAAGGCATGTTGGGTTTTTTACTTACACTGCCCTCCTTCCGACCCCACAGGGTATACATTAACCTCTAAATTGAGATCTAAATTGGTGCTTTACTTTCTCCAGGATTAGCCGATCCAAAACTAAGTTAGTATAAATCCTGTTCTAACCTGCATTGTCAGAATTTATGCAAACTTGGCCCTAGTAGGCCAACAGCTTCTGTTAGACATCTCCCTTTCCCATAGAGGCACCTTCCCCTCCCCATGGTCTTCAAAAATCTCCAGAGAGCAATTCAAACCACTGAAGTTTGGGAACTATGCTGAACTCAGGACTTTTTTGCACCAATCCCCAAGCCCCCTAGAACGAGGAAATGCAGGTACATCAGCCACTCAAAACTCAGAGAGCTTTTCTCAGGGAAGCTACCGAGCAGAGAAGTGAGGAACAGTTAAATACCACGGTTCTGTGGGGAGCTTATCTCAGGTGGATAACAGTTAATTTATCTAAAGCTTAAGAAGCCATCTGGCACAAAGCTGAAAATAGACAGGAATCTTCACATGTAAAGATGAATAATTTTTGCCCGCATCCCGAAAAGTTAGATGGTTCTGAAAAAATAGGCAGGCTGGCTTGTCATGTAAGACTTTGGTATGTACATATCATTAGGAAGACCAGATCTAATGTTGCAAAAACAGACATTAAAGTGGGTACAAATAGTGGTTAAAGATGATAACCATTCTCTCTAATTCATTAGGTACCACACACTTCTTTGAATATGGTCGGAACATCCAGGATTATTTAAGGTCATGGTTTCAAATTGTCTGAAATACTGGCTTATAAACTCGGATCTTCCCTTCAGCAAAAGAAAATCTGAACTCAGCTAAACAAGCATAACTGATTAATGCAACTATAATTGTACCCAGCTAATAACTAAATAGGAGTCTAGCAGCTTCTGGTAATGAGACTTGCCTCAAAATGCAGTAATAAATGTCATTACATAGGAATTGGTAATAGCGGGGAACTACAGCTAGCTCTTTTACCAAGATAGCATACATGGAATAAAGGGCTCTGATTTTTTTAGGGCTTATGAACATATCTAGCTGGAAGTTCAACACTAAGGAGTTCTGGTGAACATTAATGGGACTAGACTTAGTGATGCAAATTGGCATGCAATTGAATCTTGGCACGATCAGGAACAAAGCTCAGGACCAGAACACAGTGCTCAGAATCCATTTTTGTTTAATCATTGCAGTTAAGACTATAAATAGATTATGAGATGATAATTTCTCCTGAATGTGCTGGGCCAAACTCTTTTCCAGTGCAAAAAAATGAAGCACTGCTTGTTAATGCTACAATTTGGTCTTACTCACAGTAAAGGTCTAACCTTGGAACAGAAGAAAACTAAGCAGCAGCCATTTCTTATGTCAAATTAAATCAGCATCTAGCCTCAGACATTCCCAGTGAAATTCAAATTAAAAAAATGCAGGTAAGCTATTATATCACTACAGCAACAAAAAAGACTGAAAGTTCCCTTGAATGATATTTTGTTTTCCTAGGCAGAGGCAGAAAATACAATTTTAATACAATTGTATGGTAAATATGTGTTCAGGTTTTGAAAGAAAAAACAGAAGAGTACAGTTCTTGTTGCACATGGTCTCTCATGGTTATAAACAGATATAAACCGGAAGAACCATCAGGTATAAATTTTAGATTTGTTATCATAGGATTTTAATTCAAAATACCACCCATAATGAGGTAAAGATTTTAAGATCACTTCATCCAAAATGCATTATGAAAAAGAAAATAACTGAGTCTTAAAGTTACCACGTCTTATTAGAAAGAACTAACCCTCTAGTCTTCAAAATAAACTGAGTTTCATGGAAGATATAAATAGTTACATTACCAATTATTTCAAGGCCTGCTCAGTTTTTCTGTATACTACATGCATTTGTGAGCACTCAGTTCGTGGACTGATTTAAGCCATGCATGGAGTTGCTGACCTGCAGATGGAGCCTTTTTTCTTGAACTAAGAAAGTCCTCATAGTCTTGTTGATTGAACAACGAAAGTGTTAACACTTCACTAAAAGTTGGCAATAAGATTACGAATGGATACTCAGCTCCAGTACCGTTTTGATATCGGCATCAGCCCAAAATAGTTCTAAAGAGCTGTCAGAAACTTAGAAAAGTTACTGGCAGAACCATGTGTATATCACATGCAGGAGAGCAATTAAAGGTTGTCAACAAATGTACCAACCTTCTCAAAGTTCTTTGAAATATTCTTCAATATATGGTAGTTAACTTTCCCTAAAAGACAATGTAAGCACATCCAAGTAACTGCAGTGTTATGCTGCTACACAGTGCTATCCAAGGTTAGCAACTGCTTATCACAATCATTTCATCTTCAAACATGTTGGTTTTAATTGAGGAGGGGATTTATCAAGCCAATCTTGCAAACAAAACTAAGGTCGTGCCAATATTTAGCTAATAGTCCCCATCTGATCCAAATGCCATGGCTTTGAGACAGACAGAGTGTATATTCCAGTCAGCCTTGTGACTATCACATTGCAAAGACACATCCAAGTGAAATTTGTCCACAAACTTTAGACAGTTCAAAAGACGCCTAGCCGCAGGAGTTGTGAATTCAATGCTGCCTGCAAAGCTCGCTTAAGAAGCCAGGTGAACACTTAGACAGTTAGTGTAAAGCTAGATCAGGTATGTCTGGACAACAACGAAACACAGAAACAGCTAGAATAATGCCCTGATCACAAATACCCATGCAGGCCGACCATAGGATTTGTGTAGTCCTGCTTAAACAGATTTAAACTGGTGAAATAAACAGTACCTGAGCTTGAATCCCATTAAAATCCATGAATACTTTACTCTTGGACATATGCAAGCTGATCGTGTATGTAAAAAACTTGACAGATAAATCAGGAGAATTTTAAAAGGCTTTTGAGGAAATGAACAAAGGGATTGTTATACAATTTCACAAGTCATGTAGGGAAAAAATCTGCATTAAGTTCCTGACATTTTATTACTTTTATTTAGTACTTTAAATTAACTCGTCCTTTTAAAATATCTCTTAATTTTTGATAGATCTCTGCTATTCAGAATTGATGCTTATTTCATGAATGAAACCACTTTGTTTGCTTCCTCCAGAAAGCTTCCTCCAGAAAGCTTCCTCCACATTTGAAGTGTGTCCAAACAGCATTTATGTTCCTGCACAAATCATAAATATTTAGATTTTTTTTTAAAGTTTAATGTTTAGAAAGATTTTTAGTGGAAGCTCATTTAAACATGTGTAGAACTAGCTGAGCTCTCATAAATTTTAAAATAAAATTAAAATTCATTTTTGTTGAGAGTTAACCTTTCTTACATTGTTCAAGCAACTCCCAGGTCTAAATTACTCTGGTTTTACCCAAAACAGTGGTGGTAAAAATGTTATGGATCAATATACACATATTTATAGAAGCAAAGCAATTAGCACTAGATTTTTAGAAGGCACGCAACCACATAACAAACACAATATGAGCTCTGTTCCAGAAATACACAGCCACTAAAACTCTGCCTAAGTTCCACAAGACTTCTGAACGCAAAAGACTAACAAGATTGGCTCTACGGTAATGAGATATTTTTTGAAATTACTCTATAATGATATTTTACATTTTCTCATTAGCACATAAATTGCTATTTTTAAATTGGAATAAAGCTGTAATAAATCATTACACAGTTGTCGGTAACCATAGTAGTAGTGATTATAGTGTTAATGTTTACTTTGCCTTAGTGATGATGACTATTAATATTTTCCTACATGACCTTATAGGCGACACCTAATTACCTGTTTGTTCCTGTAAAACAAACTGCTATGCTAACAAGTCACTTCTCAGGGATAACTGTGGTCAGCTAAAACTTCTATATTTTAGGACGAATTACCACATTTCAAGAAAGACGTAGTAACAGAAAGTGTTGAGTCACTATCCCTGGAGGTATTTAAAAGACGTGTAGACATGGCACTTAGGGACATGGTTTAGTGGTGGACTTGGCAGTGTTAGGTTAATGGTTGGGCTCGATGATCTTAAGGGTCTTTTCCAACATAAATGATTCTATGATTCTATTCTATCATTCTCCGAAGGTATTGGTGAGGAAAATAAAAAAGACTCATTCTTCCTGCATAGAAGAGAATGGGCTTGAACAGATAGAGGTCAAAGCCCTCCACTTGCTACAGCCAGAGAAACTCTGACAGAACTGTCACCCCGATGTTTTAG